GGTTTATAGCGGCGGAAGTCTAAAGAGTAGCAACCCATGGTTTTTAGCTCTTCTTCCTGCCTGGCGTGGAGAAATTGGTCGTCTAAGTGTCAGGTTTCCTAAAACCAATGCCGGAGTGGATCCCAGCACCTTGGGATCATGACCCGAGACAAAGGCAGATACTTAACCAACTGAGCCACCCCAGATGTCCCTGAGTTTTTTTTGATACGATTTTATCTTTTGAATATGTAAAACATAACGTGGTTTAAAGTCAAACTGTATAGGGTGCCTGGGTGGCTCAGTGGGTTAAGCCTCTGCCTTCAGCTCAGGTCATGATCTCAGGGTCCTGGGATCAGTCCCACATCAGGCTCTCTGCTCAGTGGAGAGCCTGCTTCCCACCCACCCTCTGCCTGCCTCTCTCCCTACTTGTGATTTCTCTCTCTGTGTGTCAAATAAATAAATAAAATCTTAAAAAAAAAAAAGTCAAACTGTATGATAAGGAGATGTCCCATCCCCTTCACTCTTCTTCCACCTGTTTCCACTCATCCCTGCAGGTAAACAATTTCATTAGTTACTGACTTGCCTTCCTATGTTTCTTTTTGCAAAAAAAGCATATTTGTTTGTACTTTGCAATTTTTTTTTTACAAGAGGCCCTGTGCTATGTATATTCTTTTGTGCTTCAATGAGATATCCTGAAAATAACTCCACTTGGGTTTATAAAACCCTTCCTCATTATTTTTTACATTTGTGTGTAGATTGTTCATGTGCAAGAATGATTGGGGCAGTCTCTGATGTAGGGCATTTTGTTGTCTCCGGCGTTTTGCTATTACCAATAATGATGCAATGAATATGCGTGTGTTTCTGTAATGTAGAAGTGTATCTTTGCGTAAATTCCTAGAAGAACGAGAGCTGGATGAAAGGACAAATACATACGTAATTCCATTAGATACAGCAGCATTTCCCCTCAGGATTGTCCCATTTTGCTTCTTGTACCAGCAATATAGAAGAACGCCTATTTCCTATAGTTCCTTTTTTAAAAAAAGATTTATTTATTTATTTGAGGGAGGGGAGGGCAGAGGGAGAGAGTCTTATGTGGACTCTGCACTGAGTGTGGAGCCCAGCATGGGGCTCAATCCCATGACCCTGAGATCAGGACCTGAGCCAAAACCAAGAGTTGGATGCTTCACCAACTGAGCCACTGAGGCAGCCCTTCCCCATAGCCTCTTTAAACACATTCAAAAGCTTTTGAATTTTTGCCAGTCTGGTAGATGAGAAATTCTATTTCTGTGTGGTTTTCATTTCTATTTTACTTATGTGTTTGGTTGAGCATCTTTTCACATGCTTAAAGGTCTTTAGTAAATCTTTTTCTTTGTGAACTGTGTGTTCACGTAAATACATGAAATAAACTCATTTTCTAATGATATTGGGGTCTGGATGCCCCCTTGATTTTTAGTACTTTATTTCTATTTAAAGATATATTTATTTGAGAGAGAGAGAGTGAGAGAGCACAAGCAGGGGGAGCGACATGCAGAGGGAGAGAGAGAGAAGCAGGCTCCCCGCTAAGCAATGACCTCAATGCTGGCCTTGATCATGACCTGAGCTGAAGGCAGAGGCTTAACTGACTGAGCCCGATTTTTAGTACTTCATAAATCAGGGGCATTAGTTCTTTCTTTCTGATATGCATTGTAAATATTTCATTTGGGTTTTAACCATGCAAATGTCTTTGTTTTAATTCTACTGGGGTAGAACTTATTAATCCATTTTTTGTTGAATCTGGACCCTGAGGCACAAAAAGCTCTCTGCTACCCCCAGGTTGTAAAGGGACTCTACCTGTGTTTTCTTCTAGTACATGTTTCTTCTAGTAAAAATAGTTTCTTTTTTCCTTTCCTTCTTTTTTTTTTTTTTAAACACTTAGACCTGCAATTCATTAGTTTATTCTTGTCTATGGGTTAAGGTATGAACCCAGTTTAATTTTTTTCTATGTGACTATCTGATTGTCTCTCTCCATATATATATATAATTTATTCAAGAGAGAGAGCGAGCAAGAGAGAAGGAGCTGGGGGAGGGGCAGAAGCGGGCTCCCCGTTGAGCAGGGAGCCCCATGGGGAGCTCCATCCCTGGACCCCGAGATCACGACCTGAGCTGAAGGCAGACGTTAACCAACTGAGCCCCCCAAATGCCCCATCTCAATACATTTTTAAAATTCATCTTTTCCTGAGTGATTTGAGGTGCAACCTCTATCAGATACTTAGTTCCCATGTGCGCTGGTTTATTTCTAGACTTTCTGTTCTGTCCTACCAGTCTATTGATGTGATGATGCCATTCAGTTTAAATATAGAGGCTTATTGTGGGCTTACTATTTAAAAGGTTAATGCTTCTCTCTTCTTTTTAAGGAGTTTTCTAGGTACAGTTGCTGCCTTTTTTCTATATGGACTTTAAAATGAATGTGTCTGTACAAATGGTTATTTGATGGTCAGTGACATAAATGATATAACCCAGATTTGACCGATCTCTTTCCCACAGGGCAGTCTGTGTACTGCATACTAGCTAGCTTCATTCTGATTGGTCGGATTTCTGTGTGCACTCTTTTTTTTTGCCAAATGAGCCACAATATCTTTTTTTTTTTTTTTTCAGTTTTTATCTAAATTCCTATTAGTTAACATACAGTGTAATGTTAGTTTCAGGTGTATAGTATGATTCAACACTTCCATACAACACCCGGTGCCCATCACAAGCGCACTCCTTAATCCCCATCGCCTGCTTCACCCACCCCCGCCCCCACCTACCTCCCCTCTGGTAACCATTGCTCTGTAGCTAACAGTCTGTTTCCTGGTTTGCCTCTCTCTCTCATTTTCCCCTTTGTTTTGTTTCTTAAATTTCACACACAAGTGAAATCCTATGGTGTTCATCTTCCTCAGACTGACTTAGTTCACTTATCCTCATAGTCTCTAGCTCCCATCTACATCCTTGCAAATGTTCCTATTCAGTACTCATGTCCTTGTCAATCGCTTGTTAAGTATTTTCAATATACCCTCTGCAAGGGATGTGTGTGACCTGCTCCTTCTAGAATGCCAGCATAAGGAGGCAGAAGTAGTGGTAGCTTGTTCCCTAGACTGGCAAGGACCCAGTAATGAATCCCCTCAATTCGTTTTCTGGGCTCTTGTTACAGTAATAGATGCTAAGTGCAGTAATAGAAAGTTATATAAGGGCAAGAGATGAGGGCCAAGGACAGGTGGGCTTTCACTCACAGTACTGTGTGTTTGCACAGTGTTTTAGTATTCAGTGTGCTTTCATATACATTATCTTATTCCCACAAGGAGATGATTGTGGCCAAGTAGGAAATGCCTTCATCACAGATCAGAAGACCTGGATTTAGGTCCTGATTCTACATGTCACTATCATATAAACTTATTCAAGTGGCTTCTTTTTTAAGATTTTATTTATTTGTTTGACAGAGAGAGACATAGCGAGAGAGGGAACACAAGCAGGGGAGTGGGAGAGGGAGAAGCAGGCTTCTTTCGGAGCAGGGAGCCGGATGCAGGGCTTGATCCCAGGACCCTGGGATCATGACCTGAGCTGAAATGAAGGCAGACGCTTAACGACTGAGCCACCCAGACACCTGAAGGCAGACTATAATCTTCTAATAAATAATACTCTGACAAGAACTTTAAATACATTCACAGTAGATACACTTTATTTGAATGTCGGTATAAATAGGACTTGATGTTGAACAGGAAGAGGATTTTCCAAAGGGTTAAAATTTATCCAACAACAGAACTTGGTCCTTCCCTTCAGTTCTCCAAATTTGGTCGTCCCACACATCACTGTCAGAGGTCCACCCTCGCTAATCATTTCCATCACACGCAAAGTCTAAAAGTCTTCCGGTGGCCCTTTCCATTTCTCTGGAAATCTCTTTAACTGCTTTCGGTTGCGACAGAAGTGTAAGGTTTTCACCCGTTCACACTCTACTGGAGCCCGAAACACATCCCTCCATTCTCTTGTTTAAATGGAGGCTGCTTGTCCCGCGTGTACAAATGGAGAACTGAACAGTAACTCACAAAAAACGTAGCATCTCCATATGCGGTAACTGTAACTTTGCTTTACAGTTTTTTCATTAAAGAATTAATTTTATTATCTTTCCACAAAGAAGTGATAAAGACACCTGTAAAAACTTTGAGAAGGCACTTTAAAATCCCGAGATGAAAAATTCTAAAGTATAAATCATGATATGTCATCTATGCTTTACAAAGAATAAAATAAATTCTACAAGTCGGAATTTAGAATTTCTGAAGAGTTTGACAGGAATTTACTCAAAGGAATCAGAACGACAGGACTTAAGACTTTCTATTTTAACCCCAGTTGAGTTTTTAAAAAGCTCCCCAGCTGTCGGCAGGTGTGGCCCATGCCTCCCTTGCTGCCCCGCTCCTGGTGAGGTTAATTGAGGGACGGATTAGTGCCTGGATGTGCTGGGCTCTTTGTGCAACTGACTCAAGTGGTTGCCTTTTATATTTTTCCCTTATGTTCTAAAAAAAAGTAAATATACATATGGCAAGAAATGTAAATGGTACAGGAAGATGTAAAATAATAGGTAAGTATCTTTTTTTCCATAGCCTAGAAAGTCTGAGGTCTTCAAAATCATTCAGCAGTCATGTGAATCATTTGCAAATTGAAGCGAACCTTGGAGTCTCATTATCTAAAAAGAATTCTCAGTCCTTTGGAATGCTGTTGATTTTCTCATCATTACCTCTGTTCCAGAGGAAAGCTATGCAGTCTTGTCTTTCTTAAAAGAACCGATTACAAAAGCGACATGCGCTCTGCTCAGGGACAGCGAGTAGACACCTCCTTGCCCTTCGCGGATCTGTTCCTAGCTCTGGACAGAGGCCTTGGTGTCTTCCCTGAAAGTCAGGTATCACATTTACTACCAAGGCATTTTCAACAGCCAAACTTCTCTTAATCGAAATGAATCACCTGGTCCTTGTAAAACAGAGGCTGAATTCTAACAGACCCGTGTTGCCTGGACATTAAATAGATAAATATTTTTATTTAACATTGTACAAAAGGGCAGGAGCCATAGAATCCCAAGCATTCAAGCTAAAACCGAGTCAAACCTTTCCTAGAGAACAAAGGGAAGTGAGACAGTAAGGTACCACGGATGGCAATTCCTTCAGAGAAATTCCCATCCCGGTGATGAGAGGCTGGGGCGGGGGGGCTTCTTCCCCAGAGGCCGATCTCTCTGCAGTGGGCAAGCAAGGCTTACAGAGACGGGGCAGGGGCTCAGCCAAGCCCTTCCTGGATGCCTCGGATCCTTCTGGCCAGCTGCACGTCCTTCGGGAAGAGAGTGACCCGGCCGGCGTGTAAAGACAGGAGATAGGCGTCCTCAAAGAGATGAACTAGAAATGCTTCTGCGGCCTGGGGGCAGAGAGAAACGGGATGCGATGGGGCGTGGGCTGCTTCGTTCTAGGAGCCCCACCGCCCGTGGTCTCTGAGGGCTCCCAGCGCTGTCTGAAAGGCTGCCCACAAAACGAGGGTGGACTGTGCCTGGGAATTCTGCTATCACCACAGAAAGATCTGGCCTCCAAACCCCGGGCGTTCCTTGATGGTGTCTTTAAAGAGGCAAGGATCAGCGTGTGGCACATCTCAGTCAGCCCTGTGGAATTCCAGAATGCCTTTCTCCTGACCCCACCAAAGTGAACCCACTTCTTACCTCTTGTAGGGCCAACAGGGCCTGGGCTTGCCAAGAGAAGTCCACCCCACGAGTGAATTTAACGCATATCTCTCTTGCCTGTGAAGGAGGGGTGGGATGGGGAGCAAGGGAGAAAGGGAATGGGGAGTGGACAGTAAAAGAAGAAAGATTCAAGGGGAAGATCCTCTCCATGAATTTCTGTGAATCTTCACTTCTGTGATACCTTGTGGCCCTTAATCTTAGGACCTAACTAGCAGCTGGTGTCGACTCCTGGGAGTTGCGGAATTGGGATGTCTCCTGCTGGTGGTAGGGAGAGGAGGAGGAAATCTCCCAGGGTAGGAAGAGGGGTCAAGCATGGATGGATGAGGGAGTCCCTATTTCTATAACCAAAGAGCACAGTTTCAGAGGTGGTGGGGGTTAGAAACTGAACCGGAAGGCACCCCTGGTGGGCTCATGTTTTCCAAAGATGAAGAGTCCTGTGCCAGGTTAGAGAAGAGGTTCCCTTAGCCATTCAGGCAAGAGATGACAGAGTCCGCACTACCGGGGAGAGTTAAAGAAAGGAGGCAGCAGGGGGTTGGCGGAGCTCACCAGGCGGCCAAAGGGGCTCTTCCTTATCAGCAGGCCTGTGCTCTTCTGAAGCGTTCGGATTTCCTTCAGAATCCGGGATCTCCGGGGACCACGCTGACGGGAGGAAGCGCCTGAGAAGAGTTGGGTTGGCAAGTGGAGTGTCAGTAGCTGAGCCTCGAAGCATGGCTGACACAGGCCAACTGTCAGATGGCCAGGCTGCCATTCACTCCACGGAAGCAGGGATTTCGGTCTATCATTTTTTTTTTTTTTAAAGATTTTTATTTTTTATTTATTTGACAGGCAGAGATCACAAGTATGCAGAGAGGCAGGAAGAGAGAGAGGAGGAAGCGAGAGAGGAGGAAGCAGGCTCCCTGCTGAGCAGAGAGCCTGATGTGGGGCTCGATCCCAGGACCCCGAGATCATGACCTGAGCTGAAGGCAGAGGCTTAACCCACTGAGCCACCCAGGCGCCCCTCGGTCTATCATTTACTATGATTATCTTCAGCAACTGGAGAACAGTGGATAGAGGCTACATAAATATTTGCTAAATGAATGAGCGGTCCTCTGAGGATTCATCCTCAGTAATGATCCTTTGAGGGTATTATCTTAAATGCCAACTCTTCCAAGAAGCCTTTCCTGATTCCCAGTCACTTCCAAACTGATAGGTCACCTTCTTCCTCTGAGCCCTGCAGTACTTCGGGCCTCTTTACTTTTTCCCATCTAGATTAGAAACTCAGTTATTTTATTTTATTTTTGAGCTGGAAGGAATCTGAGAGGTTCTCTAGCACAATTCCCCGTCTCCGTTATCCTGAGACCCAAAGAAGTGAAGACAATTGGTCAGAGCTCATTTGTGGCCAAGGAGGGACCTTGGACATGGCATAACTCAGTGCCTATGTTAGGCCACTGGGCTATGGAGCCAGAGCTTTTGGCTCAAAGACCAGTTCCAACAACAAAAAAAGAAAAAAAAAATCTTAAAAATATTCCCAAAAGTAGAGGTCAAAAAAATGAAATTCTGATTTGAAATTAAAAACACAAAAATAAAAAATAAAAACAAAAACCCACAAAAAAACAAAAACAAAACATTGAACTATTGTGTTGAAGAAGAGACTTAATTGACATTAGACTATGTAGAAGTGAATCAAAAGTCTACATCTCAAAACTGACGAGATACAGCTAAATAGTACTAGAGGAAAATGTGCAGGTTCAAGATCGATTCTCTGTTAAAAAAACAAAAGCTTGAAAAGGCAGCTGAGCTCAGTATTCACCTCAAGTGTTAGGAAGAGTAGTACTAAAATAAACCAAAAGAAGATAACCAAATGTTCAAGATAATAAAATAATGAAAAAGGGAAAAACAAAAAACAGTATGATGGTTAGATAAATAAAATCAAGGACCAACAAAAAAACACTAAACCACTCCTAAGCTGAACAAAGAATAAAAAGAAAAACCTCCATGAAAACTAACATTTTTTTTTTAAATAAGTTTTTTCCTTATTTATTTGACAGAGAGAGAGAGAGAGACAGAGGGAGAGCACAAGCTGGGGGAGCGGCAGGCAGGGGGAGAGGGAGAAGCAGGCTCCCCACTGAGCAGGTAGCGCAACCTTGAGATCATGATCTGAGCTGATGGCAGATGCCCAACTGTCTGAGCCACGCTGGAATCCCCCAAACTAACATTTTGAAGGAGAAAATTAGCTCCAGAAATGTTACTTAAGGTCCAGTCGAGGAAAGAGAAGGCACACCAAGTAGTTAAACCCCTGGGAGGGATTTAATAGTGACCTAATTACAAAGTGTAAGGAGAGCCGCATGAGCAAGTGGGGAATGGGGACCGGAGAAACAGGGGGGCCTCACACTCAGGAGTCAGGCTACTGGTGTCTACCGCCCCCCACTACTGTTTGGCAATCCACACTCCCTTGGAGGCAGCCTTTAATAGACAGATGCAGCCGTCGCAGAAAATGAATGAACACAACCAATCTTACCAACGTGAGAAGGGCAACACCGTGTAAGGAAGGAAACAGACTCGACAAACAAAATAACCAATACTGGAGGAATCTGAGTTAGCAAGAAAAAAAGAGACTTTGAGAGAAATATGGGTAATAACCTCAGAGGTGTAAGGGAAGACCTGACATCTGGGCCCTCGAACCAGGGGTTGTGAAAAGTAACCAACTCTGGGGAGATATCATGGGAAAGAATGGGGGTTAGATATTTAATCACTGGGTCTTGCAGTGTCAGGATACAGAGTTGGGATTTAATCCCAAAGTAACAGGAAGCTATGGGAGAGTTTTAAGGAAGACAGAGAGGTGGTCCACTTACATTTTATTTATTTATTTTTAAAAGATTTATTTATTAGGGTGCCTGGTGGCTCAGTCTGTTAAAAGTTGGACTTCGGCTCAGGTCATCATCCCAGGGTCGCAGGATCAAGCCCCATGTTGGGCTCTGTGCTCAGCAGGGAGTCTGCTTCTCCCTCTCCCTCTGCCCCTCCCACTCCTTTGCGCTCTCTCTCTCTCTCTCTCTCTCTCTGTGTGTGTGTCAAATAAATAAAATATTTTTTAAAAAGTCCTGGGGCTCCTGGGTGGCTCAGTGGGTTAAAGCCTCTGCCTTCGGCTCAGGTCATGATCCTGCAGTCCTGGGTTCGAGCCCCGCATCAGGCTCTCTGCTCAGCAGGGAGCCTGCCCCCCCCCCACCCCCGCCTGCCTCTCTGCCTACCTGTGATTTCTGCCTGTCAAATAAATAAAATCTTAAAAAAAAATAAAGTCCTTATTTGCAAACAGTAACCTACTTAATCATTTTGATGGAAGCAACTGAACAATAGAATTAGCAAGAGAATTCAGTAAATTGGCTGGGTGCAAAGGTTATTAAGGTTCAGGAAAGAAAAATAACCCATAATACACTTTTTTCACCCTGCTCTTAACTACCTAGCAGGAGACAAGTAAAACAGTTGTTGCCACAAGGAACAGTTCTTGCCCCGTGGGGCATCCACCAGACTCATCCACCAGACCACAGTGCAGAAACTGAGGACCACAGACCTGTCTTCTTTCGCGATCCCAAACCTCAGGAAGGCAACAAGGTGAGAGCACTCTACTGAAGGCCCAACAATGCCATTCACTTAAGAAACACATACATTGCCCACCCCCCCCATCCCCCACATAAGGACACCTGGAAGGGTACCTTCTAAAAGCAGAATTGTTTGAAATTGTCACCACAAGCGGCCAATAATTTTGCAACCTAAAAAAGCACAAACACTTAAAAATCCTGTCTGCTGGAGCAAGCTGTGTGACCTTGTTCAAGTTACCCGGCCTGTCGGCGCATCAATTTTCTCATCTGTAAAATGGGCACAATGTAAAGTTGAGCTAATTCACGGAAGGAGTCGAACACAATGCCTGGTTAGTGGCAAGTACTCAATAAATGCGAGCAGTAGCAAAAATGAGTATTAGGAGCCAGGCCGCTTGGGCCATTCTTTCTCCTCCTGCTCGCTTTCCCCAGTCCCTTGCGGGGCCTGGAACTCGGGGCCAGGCCCGAGCAGGTGCGACCCGCAGCAGGGCTTTGCCCGGCCACAGGGGAGCGCCAGCCGGAAGTCGGGAGATTCGGACCCCTGCTCCGCACGCGAGCTCGGTTTTCCGGTCTGTGAAATGGGAACGCGGATCCGGCCGTGCCCACCTCACAGCCAGGCTGCAGGGAGGCCGGCTCCAGGGCAAGGGGCCGCGGCGGGTTACCTAAAGAGGGGGCCCGACGAGGGGGGCCGGCGGCCGGGCTCGCGGGGCGCCTCCTCGGGACTTCGGGCTTGCGGCTCCGGCGGCGCGGGCCCATGGCGCTCGCGGAGGGTGGCGGCCGGGCGGCTCCTTCTCTGCCTTCGAGGTCGGGGGACAGAGGCTGGCGTCCGGGGAGAAGCCCGGGAACGTCCTGGCCGCGTGCCCCGACCGGGTGAGTGTTCGGCAGCCCCCCGCGGGCCCTCGGTTCCAAGGGCCCGCACTGCCAACTCACTGGCGGCGTTTTTTAAAACCCGAATTCAGCGACTCCCAGTGGCTGGCTCTGGAACGCCCCTGGCGCAGAGCGACGGCAGGGAGGGCCAATGGGAGCACAGGCCGGAAGGCGAGCGGCGCGCGCCGAGTGAGGACGTAACGGATCGACGGTAGGAATCAGCCAATGGGAACCTGGAGAAATGAAAGAAGGCGGGAACTTCTGCTCTGCTTGTGCGGGTGCTCAGTTCTGACGGATCCGACCCTCCTCTTCGGGTTCCCTGTGGTTGGGCAAGAAAGCTCTATTCTGGAGATGTAGTTGCTGCGTTTGTAGAATGCGTACCTGAAGAGAAATAACTTTGTTCAAACATTTTGTGTTTGTCCTATCACCCGGAAGTGGTTTTTAAAGATGAGGAGACAGACCTAGAAAGAAAGGGACAAGCCCATGTCGCCCCCGGGGCCTCCCCAGGAACACCCCACGAATATGGCTCAGAAGCCAGTTTCACTGCGTGAACGTTACTGATGACTGGGGTGGCGGGACAGCCAGGATCTGACGATGTCTTGGCTCACACTCTCCTGCGCTGCAGTAGAATCCTCCTAGGGGAAATGACTCCTTCCCTTCATGTTGGAGATAACACTCATTCTGGCCAACTGTACATCTTGGTAGTTAGAATAAAGATTTTATTTTCTACACTTTGTTTCCTTGTATTTTCTAAATGTTTTCCAGTTAACGTGTATCATAATCAGGGAAAACGTCATTACAAAATCAGTGATTTCACGCAAGCCTTGTTCCCTGGTGCAGCCAGAGTGGAAAATAGTATGTTGATTAACCAAAAAAAATTAAATGTAGAATTACCGTATGACCCAGCAATTCCACTTCTGGGTATACACTCAAAGGAATTAAAGGCAGGGACTTGAGCTGGTATTTGTACACTAATGCTCACATCGATGTTACTCACAATAGCCCAAAATGTCCAAACGGATGAATAGATAAACAAAATGTAGTGCATACAAACAATGAGATACTATTCAGCCTTAAAAAGAAAGTAAGTTCTGACACATTACAAAGTGAATTGGGGTATTGAAGGCATTGGGGTAAGCAAAATACAACAGACACAAGAGGAGAACTACTGTTTGATTCCACTTACATTAGGTACATTACAGTGGTCAAATTCATAGATAGAAAGAAGGGTGGTGGTTGTCAGGGGCTCAAGGGAAAGGAGGAACGGAGAATTAGTGTTGAATGGGTACAGACTCTCAGTTTGGGAAGATAAAGTTCTGGGGATGGATAGTGGTTACCACTGCATAGCAAGGAGAATTCAATGCCACTGATAATCAAAATGGTGTTTTGTTGTGTGCATTTTATGATTTTTAAGAAGAGGGGGGAAAGGGCAAAGGAAGGGGAAAAAGGAAGCAGCTATACTTGGGGATACTCTGTGTGTCCACCGTGATGGAGGGTGGGGTGAGCAGTCTGGTCCAGGAGATCCATTCTTTGGTGGAGGCCTACGCAATGTAAGATCTGACAGCTAGGGGCTCTAAAATATAAGCCGACTCCTTGAAAGGCTCTTGTATTTATTCAATATTTCTCTAGTTCAGACTCTAATCAATTGAACGTTGTTTTACTGGTCTCTGCCTTTAGTGATCTTTCCAAACAGCAATTTGGATCTTATCACTCCCTTGCCTAAAACTCCCCCAGGGTACTCTAGGTCTACAGAGTTGTCAACTCATGCCACCGCAAAATCTAAAAGGTACAGCACCATGTGGGCGCCTGCCCACCTCTTTGACCTTGTCTCTGGCCACTTTTAGCATTGCATGCTTATTTCCAGGCATACCTGTCTACTTATCTGCGGTTCTTGAATACATCACTTACATGTTTCTGAGCTTTCCACAAGCTCCTGGCCAGGGAGACTCTTGCCCGTTCTTTAACATTCAGCTCTTGAGTGGAGCTCTCTGGGCATTCTAGGCTGAGTTAGCTGATCGCTCCTGTACGGCCTCCTTTGTATCTCATACAAAGGCCCCTTATGCACATCACACTGTGCTGGAATTCTTTCTTTACACATTTGTCTCCTGTTTTTCTTTCCTGGATCCACAGCCCTCAGAGCACATCCGTTCTCAATACAGTTGGCTGAATTCTGGGAGAGTAGTCCTCTACTGAAGGTTTTTTGACAAGCGTTCCTAATGAAGATGGGTGATTTATAAACTTCTATATCTAGGGGAAATTCCCTGCTGACCTTAAGTTTTGAAAGAATGTAGTCAACAAAAGGCCAAAGGGGCTTTTAACTAAGGCAAATATGAAAGCATGAGGTTAATCTGTAAGTGGGTCAGGGAGGTATACGTATTGAGTAATGCGGAGAACCTCTTCTTTTTACAGGTTGCTAAGGCCTTGAGAGGTAACATGACTTGTCCAAGGTCACCCAAAGTCGAAGCTCTCTGACTTCTGCTTCTTTCCTCTACACCAGGTGGCCCTTTGCTCCACTCCTCCTATTGTCCTCAGCGGGGGTCAGAGCTCTGACCTCTCTGAGTGCTGTTTGTTAAGCAGAGACCTTTGGACAAAGTAAAGGCAATTGGAACCACTTGGTCTGCTGCTAAATCTCTCTGCCTTGTGGGCAGATTCCTGGTGGAGGAGCCCGAGGGCTACCCCAGGTTCTGGAAGGCAGTTCTGCAGGCAGCCCCTGCCCTAGCCCCCCCCCGCCCCCCAAGACCTTTTTGCAGGGGGCAGGGACTGACTAGTCCGCTATGATGCACATAGTTTAAATTACACTGTCTTCCAACTGGTGTTTACAGAAGACTATTATCAGTCCTGATTTTGGGGTTCAGAACCTTCAACCAAACTTCCACCATTCCGAACCCCCTAACTCCACTGAAAAACATTCCCCACAACCCTTCAGCCTCAGTGAGAGAGGGGTGGTCCTTACCCTCCCGCCCACATGACCTCAAGGCCTCTTGAACTCACCCTCCAGAGGAGAAGTCAGCCTTGAGTGGTCGGAGAGAGGGAACGCATCTCCAGGGCCTGGGAGGGCACCTACTGTGGGCATGAAGTGTTCTTGAGGCATCTTGTTTTGTCTTAAAATAGATGGGAATTTTACATTCTCCTCAATGACGGTGTATTTTTTTTTCCATGATGGTGTATTTTAATAAGACATTTCTTCCCCTTGGAGAACTGATGCTCCGTGCTAGGCCTCTGCTGGGACTCCTGTGCCCCTGGCAGGCCACCCCAGAGGGCAGTGTGAACCCGACACGACATTCTGCCACGTGGGTGTTTACGGGCACCTTCAGTTTATTATTTTATGTGATTTTCACACTCATCCCACAAGATGGAGGGCCAGCCTTCCCATTTTAAAGATGTGAAGACCCAAAGATCCAGAAGTAAAGTGATTTGCCTGATCTGGGGTCAGGCCTGATATTTAACCATTGTGCTTCTTCCCTCTCATTTAAAAAAAAAAAAAACAAAAAAAAAAACCAGTGTGTCAATTTCCCTTTTGTTTTTAAAAATAGAGCCTCAAATGCCATCGTAAGGCCCCAGTTATTTTGGACAAGGAAGCTGGAGTCCCCACCAGGCTCACCCCCCATTTCCTTCTTCTGGGGTGCACACTGTGGCCCACAGAAGCTCTGGGGCCCCTGGGGACTTGGAGCTGGTGGCAGTGAGTGGCCCTCCCCTCCCAACAATCTAATAACCTGCTGATTCCCACACAGCCTGAGGGCTTTGAGTTGTCAAAGAGCCCTTCCCCCAGGATCTATTTTAAGGAAGGCATTCGGTGTTTTGTTTTATGATGGAGCTGCCCAGAAAAATGGTCTGAGGCTCCAGAAACTGCCTTGGAGTGAGGAACTCCACAAGGAAGGGCTGCTCTGCTCCCTGGGGTCCCCAGTGCCAGTCCCCTCTCTTCAGGGGTGGGGGGCGGACAACAGCAACAGCACATGAAGCTTTCATTCTGGCCATGGAAAATTTACTCCAAAGACCCTAGAGAGACCTGTAAGGTGGGTGGGGCTGTAGGTCTGCAATCAGGCAAACCTAGCCGGGACTGCAGGCTCCGTGAAGAAGTCCGTGAAGTACCTCTGGGCCGTGGCTTCCTCATCTGCACCCATCCGTGCGGCTTGTTACACCGAAGGATTACCGCTGAGCACTTAACACATGCCCAGGACACCAGAATTACTCTAAATGGCGCAGTGCTAGTAAATTCGTCACCCTGGAGGGATATCTGTGGAGTCGGGTTGCTGGGGGTAGGGTTGAGGTCCAGATGGGCTCTGGATCCCAAGGGCATGGCCGGAGTCTACAGCAGGAGAGCCTTCTTGCAAAACCACTTACATCTCTGGGCCTCAGTCTTCTCATCTTTAAAATGGAAGGTGAAGAGTTCGTAAAAGCTGCTATTAAGGGCTGCTTGGAATTCCCCATCATCCCCCTCTCCCCCGCCCCGGGCAGGGAGGCCTTGAAAGTGTGGGCGCAAGGACACCAGCACTGGCATGGGGAGGAAGCACTGTGAGCAGAGGAGCATTTCCAAAGAAGGTGCTCCTCCTTTCCCAGAGGATGGGCCCGGCTGAGGCTGGAAGGCACCGAAGCCACAGCAGCTGCACCTTCTGTTTTAGAGATGAGGACCCCAAGGCCCAGGGCCACTAGGTAATGGGCTGGGGGACATATGCCGAGTTTGTGGCACAGTCCAGCTAAAACTTAGGTCTCCACGGCAGGGTTAGCAAATAGCCTATAGGTTCTAGAAAACACGGCACCGAGTTCCGGTTTGAATGTGTTCACTGACCTCTCTTCTCTGGAGAACCAAATTTAGCTTATGATTTAGGAGAAAATCTTAGGATTGTTAGTTCCTGCAATTCCACTTCATGATTTAGTGCTCGTGTTGCAGGAGGTGCTTGGGGGGAGCCTGGCAGGGGTAGGTCACCGTACTCAGGCCTGTGTGGGCGGCACAGGGGGTGGTGACCAAGGAGGACCTGGGTGTCTGGTCATCTCTTGGGGTAGCAGCTGCCCTGGTGGGGGGGTCTGTGGGGAGGAGAGGGTGAGGCCTCGGGGACAGGCCACTGGAGGCTCACCAGCCCGAGCAGCCTCGGCCTCAGGGTGGACAAGGTGCATCCAGGTAGCAGCGGAGAATCCACATGAGGCTCAGCTGGCATCGTTGATGGGAGTCCGGGAGCCACCGAGCAGTCTCTCGTGCTCGCCCTCCTCTGCGGGGGGCCGGCCCCTGGCCAGGCGGCTCAGCAGCGGGCGGTGCAGCCCATTGTAGAGCGCGGTGCCCATCAGGAGGATGAGGAAGCCCAGGATCTGCAGGGGGTGGAAGGCCTCCCAGCCCAGCGCCAGACTCAGGGCCCAGATGACAATGGTCCGCAGACTGTCCAGCACCATGCGGGTAGTGGCGCTCAGCTCCTTGGTGACACTGATACCCGCGAAGTTGAAGAAGGCGATGCTGCTGATGTTGCCCAGCAACGCCACGGCGATGAGTGGCTGTCGACCCACCTGGCAGAAGGCGTCCAGCACGTCCTCCAGCGTCCCGCGGGGGTTTCCACTGAAGGAGCCCGCCGGGATGTAGTACATGGGCACCAGCAGCAGGGACAGGATCACGAAGCCAAAGAGGCCTGTGGGGGCGGAGGGAACACCCTGCTCTCTCTGCTCCACTCCGGCCCCTCCCCTCCCCCCACGCCCAGCTGAGCCCCACTGGTCCCCCTCCAGGAAGACCCTCTTCTGCCGGCCTCCTGCCAGCTCCTTCCTGTTCACCCCGAGTTCACAGCGCCCCACTGAGGGGGCTATAGCTGCCCTACTCCACTCTCATCATGTCTTCCAACTGGACCAAGAATAAAAATTACATTTTATACTGTGACCAGCACTCGTATGCACAGGCACGTACCCACGCACACACTGTCACAAAATAGCAGCTACCCTTCCCATGTTCTCTGGCGCTCTTCAACTCTATTGTGCTCGTTTACAAAAGAACGGCAGCTGCGGCCACGAACGCTTGTTCTCACAAGTGCGGAAAAACACAGTTCTCGAATTCAGGGTCACCGGTCTGCGACTGGGAGCCGACCAGAATGTGAATCAGAGCACGGCTCCGTTCAGTGTCTCTGGGAACAAAACCGAGCGGACACAACAAGGTGTGTGATGCTGCAAGGGGTGGAGATGGCTATCATGCCAGGAGCCCCTGGCGCTCGCACAGCTCCCGAATGGGGCCACAGGCCACAGGTGGCTGGTGTTGTGCTAGTACGCCCCATTGGCTTCATATTCTTAAAGCTTAAAGGTTTTGGTCTTTACTTCCCGGCTCAACAACTTTTGGTGGCTCCTCCCTGTTTGTCATTTAAAGTCTGGATTAAATCCACTTGCCTGACATTCAAGGTTCTCCACAATAAGACCCTGACCTAGTTAATTCCTGATCATTACCCCAACACCAAACCTGTATCTCACCAACCACTCCTTACTGGTTTCACCACTCAGGGCCGGCTCCCCATGTTCTCACTCTGTCTGGAGTTTTCCCTCCTTCCTGTTCTTGCTATAGTTCGAACACCACCTTCCCCGTCCTGAAGACACTCAGATGTGCTTGTCATCTGAGTGGTCTGAGTGCAAATGCATTGTCTGGCCTTCCCTGTTGGCCAGCTCCTCTAGAGTGGGGCGCACATCCCTTTCATCCTCAACCTTGTCCCCTCTCTGCCCCCAACCCAAGCTCCTGGGTCAGAGTGTCTGTCAGCAAACTCATGGGAAAGGGAGGGAGGAATTGGGGAGGGGGCTCATCCCCTCCCCTTGGGCCCTGGCACCTTGCCTGGAACTCCTGCTTGTGCATCCCCTCCACAAGCTACTGTCCAGGGTGCCCCCACAGCCATACGCCAGCCCCCGAGCCCCTGTGCTCACACACCTTCAGTGCCAACTGCCCGCAGTGGGTGCACGTTATGCCTGTAGACGAACTTCTCCTCGAGCACCATCTGGATGGAGACGATGATCTGGGCCATGATGATCAATAGGTCCCCTGTGGGGAAGGGAGCCAGGGTAATGCTGGGCTGCAGGGGGTGGGGTGGGGATGGAGTACAGCCACAGGGTCCCCGCTAGGGTGGTGGGCCCAGTGTTGGGGTGGACGACTCCCGCAGGGACATGAGAATCCCCAGAGCCCCTGATTTGGCAGGGTCCCGTATGATTCACAAGGCAGTCATGGCAGCCCCATGCCTGGTCTCCTGGCCCCTCAGGAGTGGTGCAGGCCAGCAGCATAGGCATGTTATCACTCTGGGCTGAGGCTCCAGAAGATCCAGAGGCCTGTGAGGGGCACAGTGGGGGTAATAAGCAGGTCTTCTGAGATGCACGAGACTTGGTGATAGACATTTCCAGTTTAGTCCATCCTCCGAGGACCGGAAGGGTCCCGTCATTTTTGAGTAGGCTGCCAGGCTGGGTACTAGGTGAACGCTCCATAGACAGCGGGTCGCTCCCCCTCCCAGACCTGGCAGTCTGTGCGTGTTTATCATAGGACAAACCTTCTCCCTCCTCTGACCTCCCGCTCCTTATCTACCCCCTCTTATGCTACTTGCACCTTTCTGCACTCTAGCCGTCATCTTGCGAGCAGATGCCGGCCCACGTCCCCCTTGTGCCCTCACCTAGGGCTTGGCACACAGGAGAGCTTGCAACAGTCTGGTGACCGACTGTGCTGGGCTCCCAGGGAGGGCAGACCAGGAGCGGTAGCCCTTGGGTCCCCACCCCTTGTCGCACCTGTGATCACTTCACTGAGCTTGTGCTGATCATCGTGCTTGCTCAGGAGGTCGGCCAGGCCCACGACCACCAGTCCCGCGATGGTGGCAAGGATGCCCAGCCACTGGCTCAGCGCCAGCCTCCGTCCCAGGAAGGCCACCGAGAAGAGGCCCGTGAATATGATCACCGCACCCCGAAGCATCTGGAAGCTGGAGGCACTTGTCATGTTCAGGGCTGGGAGAGGGGACACATGATGTGAGCTCCCGAGGGCCAAGGCTATCCAGTCACTGCGGGGCCCTCAGGGCTGAAGACATGCCTTGCACACAGTGTGTGCTCAGCAAATCTCGCTCGTTTGCGCATGTGCATGTGTGTGCGCATGTGTGTAAGTCTGGGACGGGGCAGGGGTGAGGTGAGCTGGGGTAGGGGCAGCTGCTTCACCAGTGCCCCCTCCGGCCCTCCGCAGCCTGGCCCGGCTACTCACCCACATACATGATGCTGGTCCCCGTCATGTCGCACAGGGCAGGGGGCAGGAAAAGAAGGGGATTAAAGGGCTGCTGGGGATCCATGCTGGCATCTGGGTGCCTCGCTGCTCTGCACCGAAGCAGGAAGAAGGCCGCCAGGCAGGAGAACTCCCCCAGGAACATGCCCACTGCCTGCAGGGACGGAACCCTGTAAGTTCACAGCTGGAAGGAGAATCACCTTGGACAGCATTTTAACACAGCCCGTCTTCACACGGAAGCTTTCCTGTGACTTGGCACATATACCAGACAAAAGCAGAGCTGTTTTATGTGGAAGGCCAGACACTACCTCCTAGGTCTAAGCCCTAACCCCTAGAAACATCTCGATGGAAACCCTGAGGCTGTAGACAGCCTGGCCTGAAAACCACCAATCTAAGGCCAACCTCCGGTCAGTTCTAGATGGAGAAACGGAGGCCTAGAGAGGCTCTAGAACTTCCTTACGGCCATGGAGCAAGTTGCTGGGAGAGCAGGGGCTGAAGTATGAGCCTCTGCTTCCTAGTCTGGCCACAGGTGCCTCCTGTTTATGTTGTCTGCCCCATCCCAGTGGAGTATGGGCTTCCCAAGGATGGAGAGCAGGTTTTGCTACAGGGGTTGATATGTTCCAGATGGGTCCTGATGAGGACATGTGAGGGCTGGCCTTATAGCGTCCTGGACATGCCTGCTCCCCAGGACTTAGGCAGCCCTCCCAGAGAGGGCTGTGCCCTCTGCCCCCTTCTGTGGGCACTCACACCCTGGCCTCTATTCTGGGGAGGGAGGGAGAAAGGGAGGGAGAGGATGGTTCTTCTGGAAGCAGGGGAAGGCTCCACCCCAGGTGAGAAAGCCTCAGGGCCTCACGGGGTACACCTGACCAGAGGCCTGGCCAACAGGAGGTGGGGAGGGATGGGGTGGATACCTGGAGGAAGGGATGCTGGAAGCTGTGCTCCTTGCTCCCTCCACAGCCCGGGGCCATGAAGTTGTCTGCCCACCTGCAGCGGAGAGAAAGAGAAGGTCAAAGCCTTGGCACTGCACCAGCTCTGCAACTCTGGCCCTGGGGTCTGCGGACAAGCTTGCTCCTCTCAACACCAAGGGCCCAAACTTAGGGGACCAGGCTCAGCGTGAGACTCCACTCCAAGAGGCCAGTTCCTGCAGCACGAAGTCTTCATCTAGGATCAGCAAGGGGGTGGGGGGCGGGCTAGAATCCTTTAGCTGAAATGTAGCATTTCCTCACATTGTGAATGTAGCCCCCACAGTACCTGTGATTTTGTCACACACGTCATGGCTACTCTTCCCGGCATGTCAGTCCTTGTAGGTACCGGGAAGTGGCATTTACATGCATTGCTACTAGAAAATCACAGTGATTAGACCCACTACTTACAATTTTCTGTGTCAAGAAGCGTCTACACACACATATTACTACATCACAAATTGGCTTTTTCAATGTTTTGATAACTTTATTTCAACGTAAGTGGCTTTTTCTGTAATCCAAACCTTTAATTGCATTTTTTTTTTTTTTTTAAGGATTTTACCCATTCATTTGAGACAGAGAGACAGAGAAACAGAGACAGCACAAGCAGGGGGAAAGGCAGAGGGAGAGGGAAAAGCAGACTCCCCGCTGAGCTGGGAGCCCGACTTGATCGCAGGACCTGGGATCATGACCCGAGCTGAATGCAGACTTAACCATCTGAGCCACCAGGTGCCCCTAACTGCACATTTAAAAAACAATATTCTAGGCTTTACCGACTGTCAAATGGACCCATGGCACAAAAAATATCAGGAGCCTGTGGTCTGCAAGGGCATTCGGGCCCTTGGGGAACGACTTCCTGGCACAGACCAGGTGGTCACCTTCCTATAACCTGAAGGGTTTGGAGGGTCTTTCTAGCACTAACGGGGAAGCAGGTGGCAAGTACATGGCACTAGTGGAGTGGCCTCCCAGCCAGCACCCTGACAGATGGCATCACTGAGTCTGGCATGCTTTCCCAGCAACACCAGACACAAACCCAGAATCCTCTGCGGCACAGCGCCCTGGGCAGCTCCCACCAATTGTTCTGCACTATCTGCTGTCCATGCACTAAAACCCTGGCCCCCCAATTTCACTCTGGCTGGGCTTTGTTGGGTCCCTGGGGTCTTGTCTAATCTCTTTCATTTAAAAGTTTTTTAGGGGCACCTGGGCAGCTCAGTCAGTTAAGGGTCTGCCTTTGGCTCAGGTCATGATCCCAGGGTCCTGGGATCGGGAGCCTGCTTCTCCCTCTCCCCTGCTTGTGCTCTCTCTCTCTGTCAAATAAATAAATAAAATCTTAAAAAAAAAAAAAAGTCCTTTAGATATTTGGACACTTTCCTACCCTCTTTTGAAGCTTCTCATCTTGTGGCTAATCAGCCCCAGTCCTTTTTAACCTTTCACTCCCCTGACTGCTGAATTCTGGAAGCACTCAGGGGGTCCCAGGCCCAGAGCTAAGTGTGTGGCATCTGGCCCAGACCAAGCCTGGCAAGACAGCAGCCCCTCCTTCACATTGCACACCCTGTCACATCACGCAGCTGACTGGTGTCAATGCTGCCACAGGGCAGCGTCCTGTGGCCCTGGACCCATTCCTTCTGCAGCGCCCTGCACCTAGGCGGTGGCTGTCTCTAAACTACAAGACTTGGGACTTCTCTTTCTTAAACGTCCTTCCTTGCCATGCCTGTGAAGAGCAGCCACATGGTAGTCCCCAGCCCTACCCTGCTGGCTCATTTCTGCAACAAGCCTGAGGTTTCAAAAGCCAGGGGGAAGCCTTTTGTCTCCGGTGCCCCCCGCCCAACAGGGCAGCAAGCCTGGGACCTTGGGTAGGGGCTGGGTTTGACAAAGATCCTGGCCAGCCCTGGCTTCCCTGTGCCCTGAGTGTAGGGAGGGGAACAAGGAGCTCTTTGCCACAGCCTGGGAATGGGCATAAGCCATGGACGCTGGCAGCAGGAAGGACAGGCTGAATGCGGTAGGTTTCCCATCAGCCCTGAGGGCAAGACCACATCTGCTCATTGATCTGAACATACCCCAGGGCCTTTGAAAAAAACAGGGCCAGGGCAAACTTAGCTCACAGTGAGTGAGCTCACAGCGGAAGACCCCACCCACCCCAGAGATGCCAGGAGGGACAGTTAGGAGGGCTTGCGGTTCTTGGGAATGATGAGGGTCTTCAGGAGAGCTGAAGGGTGGGGAGGTCTCATAGGACTGGTTGGAAATGCGGAGAGAAATCTGGGTCAGGGGACCAGGCTGTAACCAGTCCCAGTACCAACGGCGCAAAGAAAGCCACAACTCAAGAAACTGCCTGCTCTGCGGGGTCTCATTTCTGCCCCATCTGCTGCAAGTTCTGGTCCCTGGATCCCCAGACAGGAGAGGATGTGGGATACTGGTGGGGGCCGCAGACCAATGGTGTGGCCCCTCACCCCCCAAGGGAGGTCAGGCTTGCTTTTGCAGAAAGAGCACTCTGGGAGGGCCTGCGGGAGGCAACTCAGCGTAACAGAGAAGCGAGGAAGAGTAAGGAGGCCCTGTTTTCCCAAAGTGCAGAGCCGACTGCCCCAGAGCAAGTCGGAGATGGACATTCCTAGAGCTGGAGCCAGGGCTCCTCCAGGAGGAAACAAGGGAGGTTCTGCCAAGCCCAAAAAGGTCACCTAGAAGCTCAGGGCATGGGCATGTGTGGAAGCCCCTTCCCCATCACGGTAGTACACCCAGATTCACGGCAGGCTCCAGAAGACCCCCAGACCCAGTGGTAGAGCAGCCTCCCCGAACTCCCCCTGGGCTGCAGCCCACACAGCTTACGGTGATGACCACTCACACACCCATCACTGTGTGCGTTCAAGCCACTAGCCCAAGCTTAGCATCCAGCAACATCTCTACTTCTGGCTCCCCAGCTCCCGGCATACAGGAGCTCAGACATTTTTCCTTTGTTCAACCAGTGGCATTTCTAGACTCGCCCTGGCAAATGGGCAGGGTCTGCATGACTCCTCATTTCCCACAGGGGGAGATGCCGCCTGCCAGTGGGCCCAGCTGGGCTTGTCCCACAGGGGTGAGTACTGAGAGCAGAGCTGGCTCTAAGGCTGATGCTGAGCTCCCTCTCCTGCCCCCAGGGCCTCCTTTGCTTTCCCCAAGGGGTGGGTCTGCCTCAACAAGCTGGGGCTGGCAGTGCTCCCAGCCTGGGAAATGGAGTCTTTTTGTATCTGGACGCCTAGGGTGGGCTTGAGGCCCAAGGGATTGGGTGTCGGGGGTGGGGTGGGGGTGGCGGTGGGGGGGACGGCTGCCCTTTCCAGCCTTCCTTCAGGCAAGGAGGAGTTCAGGCCCGCAGAGACTCGGGGCTGGAGTCTAGTGTCTCACCCTGGTCTTCAGACAGGCTTCAGCTCATTGCACAGGCACCAATGGACCCCAGAGAGCGCAGAACAAGAGCCAGAATCCAGCCTCTGCTGAACAGGGGAGGACAGCAAGGGCCCCTGAGTTGTGACAGCTGTTTGCAAAAACACTTTGCTGCATGTTTTGATAAATGTACCACTCACTGAGTACTGACTCCACGCCAGGCCTGTGCCGGACACTCATGTTCTTCATTTTACGGACTGGGACTTCGTGGCTTGGGGCGGAGGGGTGGCGATAGCCGAGTGCGGATCCATACAGTTAACAATGGGCAGGTCTAGGGCCAGATCCATCTGCTTGAATTTGCATTCAGAAAAGGCAGCAGAATCCCTGGAAAGCTCATGACTTTTGAGTCTCACAGGCTGGACAAGTTAATAGTCTTCTCATCTATAAAATGGGGATAGTAAGACCAACACCGAGGAATGGTCAAAAGTAATACATAATGTAAGATAGACAGCCCCAGGGATCAGAGAGCGCAAGAGGGACTCAATGTGGTGCCGAGAGGGGCTCGTCCCCAGGGGTCTTCACCTCCAGCTCCCTGCTCCTTCCTCGGCACCTGACTTTCTCCCATCACCTTCTCATTGCAGATTCTTCCCACTCCCCTGGCTGAGGCGGAGAGAGGAGGCTCTGCAGATGGGCCCTCTCTCCTCTCTAGACAGCCTATTCTAAAGGAAGGCCATGGTGGTGTGGGCAGGAGGCAGCCTGGGGGGACCCTCGATCTCGAGAGTCAGGCTGACGCTGCACGAGAAGATGCCTTCTGCTGGCAGAGACCGGCTTCTTTCACCAATTTTTTAAATTAAAAACATTTTAAAGTGATCTCTGCACCCAACATGGGGCTCGAACTCATGATCCTGAGATCAAGAGTTGCACACTCTACCGACTGAGTCAGGAGACTGGCTTCTTTTAGGAGGGGCCTCCGCAGGCAGGCCGGGGGCGGGCCTGCCTGGCCAGGGGTGAGTCACTCCAGCCTGGCCAAACTCAGAGCTCAGCATTCTCAGAGGCATGTGCAGCCACGTGAGGGTGGCGGGTGCAGAGAGACTGAGGAAGTGGCCGACGTGGCTGCTTCGGTCTGACAGTGATGTCCAGTACCCCAGCAGAATCTCTGCCACTTCCTCTGGCTCCCCCTGCTCCTCCAGCCGTGAGTCAGCTCCTTCCTCCTGCCTAGAACCTCCAGCAAGGCCGCTGGGCTGCTCTACTCTTCGGTGTCACAGCAATTGGTGATAAACAGTCACGAGACCTCTAAGTATTACCCAATCTTCCTCGGTAGATCCTGCCTGGTGCCTGGGTTGAAGGGAGGGAAGTCACGTCCATTTTACAGATGAACCTGAGGCTCGGAGAGGCCCCGTGACTCATCAAATCCCATAGCTCCCACTCCTTGTGCTCTCTTCACTTTACACACTACCCTCCAGGTTTGGGCTTTCCGTGGCTGCTGCAAGAACCCCTCGGAAGCACCCAGGCCAGCTTCTGGAATTTAAGAGTGGGGTCAGCCACCAAGGCAAAAGTTAGAGCTGGCACAGGAAGGATGGTGAGATTCCTTCCCTACTAGAGATCCTGGAGTTCCACTTTCCTGCCGGGGTCCCCGCACCAGGGGCTTGATTGCTGGAGGGGTAGCCACCCCCTGCCCCTCTCTGGCTGGGTGGGCTTCACAGCCTGCAGCCTTTCGGAGGACATCTGAGCCTCACTTAGTGAGCACCTGCTTGACCCTGGCTCTTGACATGTAGGACCCTAGCTGGGTTCAGGAGAATGGGGCTCTGAAATGGGCAGGACCCCACAGGGGTGTGGGGACTGTCTGCTGTGCAGGAGACCCATGGGCAGAAGGTCTGGGTGAAGGGGGAGAAAGCAGGCACAGAAAGGAGAAGCAGCCACTGGACTGGAGGGGCCCTTTGCCGAGGTCCAGGACCAGGGACAAGGCCAAAGGGCCAGGCTGGTGGGTAGCCTCTGTCCCCGCCCCAGCAAGAGCGGCCCCGTCTCCACCTCCTGCAGCCTACCCAGAACTGCTGAGCAGGCAGAGTGGCCTCCTCCAGGGGACAGCTGCCCTGTGGTCCCCGCACAGCAGGGGGCAGGTGCTCATCCACTTCCTCTGCCAAGTTTCATCTTCCTGGGACCCTTTACAGGTCAAGGAACCGAAAGAGGCTACTGGAGACACTAAACGAGAACCACGAGTACTGTACCCTCCTCCCCCCGCCCCCGTTCCCCCATCCCAGAGGCAGGGCACTCTGGTGATGGGGGGGGGTGGGAAGCCATTGCTTGTGGCACTGCAAATTCCACGGGGCTGGGGCTGGGTGCTCTCTGTGGGGAGATGCGAGAGGGGATCCCCAAGGAAGTGGGACTTTGGGGGTACTGTCTGTAAAAGGACTGAGACCTAGTGTCTGGTCCCCACTCTGACGCCAGCCAGTTAGTCACTAGAAGAAACTTTTCGTGGGACCTAGACTATAAATTGTAGGCATTAGGATGGGAGATTTCTATGTTTCTAACAGCTTTAAGTGCCCTGAAAAATGACTTGAGAAACCCCTAGCCTCACTCCATATTGACAGTTAAGAGCCTGAATTCTAAAGCCAGATCACTTTGGCTCGAATATCAACTCTGCCACAGAAAAGCAGAGTTGACCCCTGGTAAGCAGTCCCATCTCTCCATAGCTCGGTTTCCTGATCTGGGGACAGGGAGTTTATCTCCCTCATAGGCTGGTTACGAGAGTTCATTAGACTAACACATGAAAGGGCCAGGCACTGACTATAGCAGCTGCTAGGGACTCGCTGTGGTCCCATCCTAGTCCGTCTGTCCCTGCCAGGAAGTGCAGGTCAGAGGATAATTTCGCATCGGTAATCCCCACCAGGATGCACACAGCCCCTGTCTCACGTTTTCTCTCGGAGGGCGTCCTTCTCACAGTCTGGCCTTAGAACCCTGTATAGGGCCTAACTCTAGGGCCCATTTGAGTTAGGGAGGCTCCCGAAAGGCCCCATATCAGGTGACCTGGCACAGGACAGGGCCAAAGGCCTGTACCCCCACGTGCGAGTCTCTTTCCTGTCTCTTGGGCAGCCTGCAAGGGCAAGGTCTTCTGGGGCCAAGAATCCCAGGGCCTCCTACCTGACCAGGAAGGAGCTGAGTCAGTTTACTCCAGTAATAACTGGCCATCTCGACTCTCCTCGGGCACAGAAGCCCCGGGAAATATAGAGCCACTCTCTAAGCATGTGGCTGAGACCTTGAATGGTATGACAGACGGACAGATGGATGACTCGTTTTGCTGCATTCAGATCCTGAGATGGGGGCTCTCAGGCTGAGTCTCCTTTATAGGGAAGGAGGCCACAGGGCTCAGGAGACCGGCTCACAATCCAGATGCAGACAAACAAGAGACAGTGGTGTCCACCCAGAACTCCACTTCCTCTGGAGAAGGGAGGACACTGAGGTTGTCAGGTGTGTATGCTCTGCCCCCTTCACCTCCTACCCTAAGCATCTCAAACGATCTCTTGGCTACTTCAGCCTCCTTCCCGGAGTCCAGACGGTGCTTTGCACCCTGTAGGTCCCTTATACACGCCCGATGAACTGGACAGGGTACCTTCCTCCCAGACCTCTCCCCTGGGGCATGTGAACAAATACCTCAAAAATGAGTAAGAGATGACTAGCCCCCCACCCCCCCAGAGGGCCTCAAGCACAGCCCAGAGGGTCGCTGGTGTGACCCTGCCTTGCTGTGGAGCCTGGAACAGTCCAGCTGGAAGTGAGGTCTGGCTGGGACAGGGACACTGTCTACTCCTCTCCAAATGCCTCTTGGGATAGGTTCAGAGAAAGGCCAGGATCTGGCTACTGAGGGTTCTGAGATGGTAAACAGGGTGGGGCAGGAGGGCCCTGCCTTGAGATGGGGGCAGAGCAAGCGACAAAGCACTGCCAAGAGAAGGGCCTGCCTCCTGGGGCTCCTGTACATGGCGGAGGAGGCATGCTCAACACCCCTCCCCTCCCCCCGGCCTCATTCCCTAACCTCCTGGGGTCTGTCTTCACCGTCTCACAAGCACCCACCCTTCTTCATCAGAGCTGAACTGTGCACCCAGACTCCTGTCTGGGTTCATGACACTTTTGTTCTCCCAGCAGAAACCCTGGAGGGGTCACTGGCTGTTTGTCTCTCTCGATCCTGTGGGTCAGGCCTTATGGCTTCATTCTGCACCTGGTCTCTCCCACCTGTCCCCTCCTTGCCTGCCTCACTTCCCCCTCCTCCCTCCCTCATCGGCCCAGCAGCAGCCTTGGAGTGGTCTTCCTAAACTACCCTGCATCTTGACTACCCGGTTCATCATATCACTTATAACATGTCACTTCCTGCTCAAAAGCTCTTCTTTGATTGTGGGATAAAATCCGGCCTGGGCATTTGGTGCTAGTTACGTACACTTCCATGTAGCCTTGCGGTTCCCTGCAGCGACGTCTGGCCACACGTAGAAATCCCACCAAAATGTCAAGGCTCAGCTGTGACCTCTCCTCCATGAGGAGCCCACAGGGTATCCCCAAGTCTGTCGCGGCTGCCTGCCACGCTCACTGGTCACTCGGCCCTCACGGCTTCTACTGTAGTCCGCGTGCACAGTGCGGGAGCGCCCCTTCACCCCACCCCTGCCCAAAGCTCCTGGAGGGTCTGGCCTCCAGCCCGCCGCGTTGGAATGGGCCGGAGAGGGAACTGGTCTAAAGATGAGGAAACTGAGGCATGGAGACGGAAGGGGACTCCCCGGGGTAGGGGACTCGCCGGGATCAAGCACACAGCGATCAAAGCCGGGGCTCGGATCCTGTAGCGGGCCACACGGCCTAGGTCCATGTTTCTCCGGGAGGCTCGCCCCTCGGGGGCCCCCAATCCGCGTGAACCGACCGGAGAAACGAGGCGAGCCGGTGAAGCCGGGAAAGGAGAGCCGAGAAGGGGGAGGAAGAGGAAGGTGCGCGGGGTCCCCAGAGCCCTCGCGGGCCGCGGCCGGTCCCGCTGAGCTACCCCCCCAACACCCCGGCCGGGCCCGGACTCACTTGGCCGAGAGCGTGTTGATGGAGCCGGTGACAAGCATGAGCCCGGCCAGGAACAGCTGGTACTTGGTCCAGGCCATGGCGGCGGATGCGGGGAGCGGAAAACTGCAGGGACCCCCGCGACCCTCCCGGTCGCTCCAGAAGGCAGATCCCGACCCCGTCACCCGGGGGTCTCGGGAGCGAGCGCTTCCGGGCCGGGCGTCACGTGACCCACACCGCAGCGGCCCGGCCCCGCCCCGCCCCGCGCCGTAGCCCCGCCCCCGGGGCCGGCGCGCTGGGCTTTTCCCAGGGTCACTCGTGTCCACAGGGTGACAGTGGACAGTTACGGGCCCAGGTCTTCCCGTTTGTAGAAGAGGATGATGGGGACAGTACAACGAGAATGCACTGTGAATGTCAGAGCGTTCTGTAACCCGTTTAAGGAGATCGCGAGCCGAGTGGTGTCAGAGACATCACAGAGTGGATAGGACTCCTGGGAATCTCTTCTGTACAGGGAACCCCCAGGGAACCCTGGAAAGTGTCTCTGGATGAGTTGCTCACATCTTCCAGAAAAGTGGCGCAGGAATCTAGTTCCAGTTCCCCGGGGACCATTTTATAGCTGAGGAAAGGAAATTGAGAGAAGCAAAGCTTAGGGTCATGCCAGTGAGGGATGGAATGGGGGTATGCGTGTAGCTTCTTCAGTCTCCTCTAGATCCGTGCCTTCGGCACAGCCCCTTCACCAGTGCTCCTTCCTGGATACCCAGGATGCTGCTCTGAGGCATCTGTGTCAGAAAGACCTAGTGGTCTTGCTTGCTGAGGATTTAGTGCTTTTAAAATCCTAGTTCTCAGCTCCCTGGCGGTCCTTTGTCCTCATCTCCAGGCCTCCAGTCTGCATCCCATGCCGTGTCACCCCACATGCTAGAGTGCAAAGCCTTGGGGTAGCTCCTTCAGACCTAGTGGACACATTCTCCCCCTTACTGCAAATCTTGTTACTTCTTAAGGTACAGATGTAAGACCTGTCTGCCAACTCCTTGTTCTCACCCTAAGACTCCTTGAACTTGTGAAAATGACCAGTGTTGAATCACAAGAACTCTGAAGGGACTGGACCAGATCCCTTTATTGCAGGAAGACCTGGCAGGGAAGGTGCACATGTGGGGTTCTGGACAAAAGGTTGGAGGTAACTAGGGGAAGGGTTTTCCCAGAGGAGGGAATGCTGGTGGGATGGCACAGGGGCACGAATGAGCACTGAGTGTGTCTGGGATCCACAGACCTTCTGGGAACGTTTCTGCTTCCTTTTTGGGAGTCTGCTGTCTTCAGTCAGTGGTGGAGATGCAGATACAGAGGAAGTTCTGAGTTTCTTTTCCTCCAAAACACAACTAGTTTCATGTGATTTCAAAGGAGTCCATGGAGTCATAAAAAAATATTAACTGAGACCCTGGCCTTGTAGGGAGGCATGAAGTCAGACAGAGCAGACAGCTGGATAGCCCCATCCCTATTGGAGACAGTTCCTACAGTCACAGTGACACACTCAGTGGGGCTCTGGACCATTTTCCCCCACAAAGTAAAGGATTCTGTCCTGAAGTAAATATTCTTAATGGCCAGGGGTGTCACCACCCCGATATGATGTCACTAGCAGCACAGTCTTTGTCTGTGTCCACAGCCACATCATACAATGACTTTTAATTTATCACAGTGTTCTAACCTTTTGTCACGTTGCTGTCCCAGGAGGATTTATTGGCAAATATACATCGAGAACCCCAAAGTGTCAGGCCCAGAGCCAGGAATTGGGGCCCCAAAGACAAGCAAGATAAGATCCCTTCCCTCAAGGAGTTTGGGATTTTGTGGAGAAGAGGGGTGAGCACACCAGTCACCATGCAGCAGTGTAAGGGGCAGAAGGAATTGGGGAGGGGGCAGGAGCGAGAGCATGACAGTGACAGTCAGTGCTGTCTTGATTCAGTGCCCCTGTCTGTGTCCACCTCTACTTGACTTCAGTGTTCAGAGCAGTCCCACAAAGCTGGAATCCCAGGGAAATTTGAGCAGGGACTTGAAGGAGAAGCAGGATTGCTCCAGGTGGAGAAGGGGGCATTCCAGGCTGAGACAACTATTGGTTGGTCACCTCCATGGGTGTGACCAGCGAGCCTTCACACTGGGGGTGACCAGTGAACCTTCACATTGGGGGGTGACCTAGAGTGAGGCTCCAGGTCTCTGCCAAACTGGCTAGGCTTTACAGGTAAAAACTAGGGTTGACATTAGTGTCCACAGGTGGCAGTGAGCCTGGGATTAAGGCATCAGAGCCTCGGGAGATGGAAAGCCTGAGAAGCAGTTTGAAGTAGAGAAGAATCTAAGTGGGAATGTTTGCAAAATCCTCTAGATTCTTATTTGGTGAAATTCAAGGGAGGAGCTTAATGCGTATGTTGGATACAAATTGGCCTCATAATTTTGGTTTCCTGGGTTAAGTAACGTGGCCACATACCAAACCTCAAAACTTTCTGAGCCTGTTCAGAGTCAAAGGTGGGCCCGTCTTCTCTGTGTGGTGCTCTTGGCCATCAGAAGAGCAGTGTCTTATTATAATTGCTCACATTTGATTGTCTTGATTAAAGACAACAGCAGGGGTGCCTGGGTGGTTCAGTCAGTTAAGTGTCTGCCTTTGGCTCGGGTTGTGATCCCGAGGTCCCAAGATCGGGCCCCACGTTGGGCTCCGTGCTCAGCGGGGAGCCTGCTTCTCTCTCTCTCTCTCTCTGCCTGCTGTTCCCCTGCTTGTGGTCTCTCTCTCTCTCTCTCCCTCTCACCATCAAATGAATAAATAAATCTTAAAGAAAAAAAAGACAACGGCTTCCATGAGGATTGGCGTTACATGAAAAGGAGCAAATTTAGCAAATTTTTAACGAAGGAAGAAATTTACTAAGTGTTAAGGATGCCCCTTCCGCAGAATGCTGTGTGGATAGGCTAGTGGACAGAGATAGGACATTTTTCATGTTTCTTTAAAAGTGCAGAATCTTTAGTAGTGGGCTGACATCTGTGCAAGTTGCCCTACACTAGGGAAGAGAGGGAGGGCAGCTTCTGGCTGGCTCTGGCTCTTAGAGCAAAGTGACCATGGTTCAGTTGCTTCATCACTCAGTGCCCTACTTTTCTATCTGTAAAATGGGAACAATAACATTCAGCGCTTGTGTGCAAAGGGAAGGAGGACAGATGGGGAAGTGCTGTGGGAGGCCCCATGGGGAGAGCCAGTATCCCTGCTCTGAGGTCAGGGCTGGCCCAGCAGAGAGGTACACAGAAGGACCCGAGGCTGTGCATTAAAAAGCACATCTCATGATTTGCATAAGTGTATGATCCAGTTTTCTGGCTGGGGACATTTTGGACAAATTTGCATGCTACCTTCAAAGAGCCTCTAATTTCCAGAGTCAAATAGAAGATGCATCACTGCAAACTCCTGCATTTGTATTCAAAGCTGACTGTCTGCCTAGTGTCTAGTCTGAAAGACTGAACATTTCCCCAATCAATGTAATCACATTTTGGATTAGGAGAGTAACTTTACCCAGGAAGGGACAGAGATATGTGGACAGACAGTCCAGGTCAAACGTGTTTTGTTCTGAACAAGCTTTTCCTGGATGTCCTTGGGCCATTTCCCTCCTGTGTCCTGTTCGCCTGTTAGAATGTGACCTCCTCATAGACAGGTGACAAAGATTTTTTGCTTGATCAAACTTTAGGTGAGCTCTTGAATCCTCTCCCGCACTCGTATGGGCACTTCCATAAAAATCCAGTTTTGGCAAGAGCCGTGCTAAGTTGGTTCAACTGGAACCCCCTACTCTCCATATCTGATCTCTTTCCATATCTTGCTAGTTCTTCATCCTCCACCGTCTCCCAGGTGATGTCTGATCCTCTGGGCCTGTCTTCAGCAAGAATCCTGTTCGGTCAGTTTAGGCAGAATCCGAGTCATCCCTCTTAATCATTTTCCGTGCACTGACCTCCCCTCCCCACTTCTTGGTTATAAATTCCCACTTGCCCAGACTGTATTTGGAATGGAGTCCCATTCCACACCAAGGTCTCTTTTCCTGTATTGCAATAGTCCTAAATAAAATCTATCTGTATTGCTTTAACTGCTCTCTGGCTCTGATTTTTCTGCGACACAGGGCTCGGGGCTTGGTATCCAGTTGTGATCTCTCCCAACAGAGTGGCTGCGGCAGCATAGACATCTGAGGCTCTGGCTGGCAGCAAGAAGACGAGGCTTGGGAGGAAGTGGGCAGGATCAGGTCCCGGCTGTCTCCTGGGACAGAAACCGGGACCGTGGAACCAGGTCCGACCAGACCTGTCCTCGGAGAGGAATGTGAACGAGCTATCCAAGCAGAGAGGCGGTAGATGTTGGAGTTCACCAGCTTTTACCCGCGGACTTTGGTGGTTTCTATGGTGACTGGAGATGATTAGATTAGGAGTCACCTGCTCCTTCCAGCTTCAGACTCTCAGAAGGTCATTTTCAAACCTTCTCTCCGCCTTTCTTTCTTAACATCTTTTTGGGAGCCCCTCCCGCCTTCCTTTGGAGCTTGTCGCTAGATCCCAGAAGCAGGTGTTTGCCTTGGTCCTCTGGGAGCTCAATCAAGTCAGATCCAGATAAAGCATGGACTTCCGGTTAAATATGATGTCAGATGAGCAATGAGTCATTTTTTAGTATAAGCATATCTCCAATATTGTTTGGGGGTACACTTATACTAAAAGATCTCAGAGATGATTCATTATTTATTTGAAATTCAAATTTCACTGGGCTTCCTGTATGTCATTTGCTCAGACTGGCAGCTCCGCTGGTCTGGCCCGCAGCTTGGCTCCCTTGCTCAGGGAGAATGAACCATGATGATGGCTGAATTGAATGGGTGTGTCATGAGGCAGATAGCTTCCTTCGAACATGCTGTTGAGTAAGCCAAGGATATTTTCTTTTCCAGACTCTGTTAAGTCTCTAAATTTACACCAGCCTCTGGGAAGTGGGCCTCATGCAGGAGAAGCCCCAAGCTCCTGTGTTTAACACCCTTTGGAGGAGGAGTGAGGGCTTCTGTAGGGGATTTTAAGGCGCAGACTGGGTTGAGAACCCTCCCTCCTTTGCATCCTGTTTCAGGGATCCCAAAGGGAATACCTTGTCTAGTCCCACCCCATTGCTTTTCAGATTAGGAAGTCCAGGCCCAGAATGGAGGTGACTTGTCTAGGTCAGTAGTGAGTGACTTGTGAGCTATATTTATGGACTATGTATTTATTTATTTGGATT